CAGTTTTTTGAAACATATTGTTCACTAAGGTATCCATTTTAAGTTTTAAGTTGTGGCAGACTTATGTTGTGATCTGTTGCCATAGTAACTGGGGAAGCCAGAGGGAATTCCATGACTGTGCTTTGACATTACTATGATGTCATCAAAGTGATGACATCATAGTGATGTCATCACTTTGATGTCATCGAAGTGATGACATCACAGCCCTGAGGCATACCAAAAACTTGGTAATGACTACACCAAGGTAAGTAAGATCGAACTTTGCTTTAGGATCATTTTTAAAGGAGACACAAAACTGTTTTAACACCAACTTACAAACACAAACACAGCCATGAGCTCCTCCACTAGTAGGATGGAACAGAACAGAACAGAAGAAGCGACCAATTATGACTTTCAGGGTTTTGACTCAGAGGAAGAATTAAACCCGCTTCCTTCTGGAGTCGGCCAGGATTCAGAGGACTTAGATGAACAGGACCAAATTGGCTCACCTGACTCCGTAAATAAATCATCTCCAGAAGAGACCAAAAAGTCAGGCATGAGAGGGCTCATCAGCAGGATGAAAGCTATTTCTGTCCAAACATTTGCTCAAGAGTCAATCCTGAATGTGAGGTCTAGAGTCAGGCGTAGGCTGGCCCACCGTCAAAGACAGGAAGCTGACACTTCAGATACTTCAATGCTTCTGGAGAGTGAGGATAGTCTTTCAAATGAGATAATTACGCCCGAAGATCAGCATACAAAAAGTGAGTCTGAAGAGATTGGGCCTTCCACTGCCCTCTGTAAAAGTGACTGTGAGCGTCGTCTCTTGACTGAGAAGGTGGCGAGTCTTGAAACAAGACTGGATGAAAAAGAGAGAGAAAATGAAAATTTGGTGGCAGAAATTGACGATTTGAAGGAAAGGAATTGGCGTCAAGAAAAGCATTATGGAGAGAAAGTGCTTCACCTCACAACAGCCTTGGAACAAGCTCAGGACAGAAAAAGGACCCTGAACCAGCTGGAAACTCCTGCTGCTGAGGCTCAGAGTGAAAGCCTGTGGAAGCGCTCTCTCAGAGGTGCACTGAGCGTATGCAAGTTCATTGGTGTGTCCTCTGCATGTGCACTTGTTGCAGTGGGTATACTGTCCATTGGATTGGTTGCTCATTGTGATTGCCCATGTGATCCTTTCTCCCACCTGTTGGAATCATTGACTATTCACAACACAGGACACCCCTCTTAAACAGGACCAACACTTCTTTTCCCCAATACAGTTTAATTAATGCAAGGAAGGAGTGGAGGTGCAGTAGTTAGCACTGTCACCTTCAGGATAAAGGTCTCCCTATTTGAATTTTACATTTTCTCTCCATCACACAGGGGTTTACTCCAGGTGCTCTGGTTTCCCCCCACAAGATATTTAGTATCTTAAAAAAAAAAATTCCCCCTCCTCGAGCTACCACCTTACCGTGGTGGAGGGGTTTGTGTGTCCCAGTGATCCCCCAGGAGCAAACAGGTCCTGGGGGGGGACCAGACTAAGAGTAGCTCAAACAGACCCATTATGATGAACAAAATATTTGGCACCAAGTTTCCCTCGCCTGGACGTGGCTCACTGGGACCTTGGCGGTCTGATCCTCGGCTGCAGAGGCTAGTTCTAGGGACATGGAATGTCACCACTGTCACCTTCAGGATAAAGGTCTCCGTAATCAAATTGTGCATTTTCTCCCCATAACACTGTAGGTTTCCACCAGTTGCTATGGTTTCCTCCCACAGCCCCAAAATGGCAGAACTCAGGAACTCAATTAAAAAAAAAACAAATACATATAATTTCATCAAGAGTGTGTTTTTACAAGGTTAACTTGGTTTAAAGTGAATCAGATTGTGTGAAGGTTGATGTATGCAACTGCAAAATCTTATGTCAGCTGTGTGGGTTTTTTCCTTTTCACATTTTGATAACAAGGTAAAAAGAAGGTGACTAAAAACAATGTCTTACTACTAGAGGTGCAATAGAAGACTATCTCCAATTAGGTTTTCAGCTGTACTCCACAAACCAGGCCTTGATTGCGGTATGCTGGCCAATTTTAGGCCATCTCCAAGCTTCCCTTATTTCAAAAATGTTAGAGAAAGTTGTTCATGTTCAGCTAAAGTCTTTTCTGGTTGAGCATGGAGGTCTTCCAGTCTGGTTTTAAAACTCTTCACAGCACAGAGTCTGCTTTATAAAGAGTTTTAAATGACATCCTCCAGGCAAATGACTCTGGTGATTATGTTATTCTTGTTCTGTTGGATCTAACTGCAGCTTTTGACAGTGGACCACAATACTCTGGTGGTCACACAAAAACACAAAAACACACAAACACAGTATCGTATAGTATGGTATTGTACCATATCATATCGTATCATATCATGTCATATAGTATCATATCGTATCATATTGTTCCATATTATATCATATCATGTCAGAACACATTCTCCTCGTTAGTATAGTGGTGAGTATCCCCGCCTGTTAGGCGGGTGACCGGGGTTCGATTCCCCGACGGGGAGTGGAAATCAAAACGGAAAGTGTCCGTCTTCTCACTGGGTGAAGCCACTCTGAGAACAGCACCCTCTGGTGACGGCCTGCAGTATAGGTCATAAATCCCTGTCAGCCATCCTTAAGAGGCTGAGGACAAATTTTAGAAATTAATCACACAGAACAGATTTTTTCCCCTTGCTTGCGATGTTGACATGTAGTTACTGTAAGACTGTTTTGTGCTCAAGTCCTCTTTTTTCTGTACAGCTCTATTTTTAAAAGTTCTTAGGGGGTTCATGTCCACACAGTGTGGACTGTCATGATGACAGTGTAATGCTCATGTACCAAAGGATTAAGTATTTCCATGTTTGTGAAACCTACACTAAAGTACAATTCATCTAAATGCTTCACAGTGCTGATTTTAACAACTCTCCTGCACAACAGGTAACTTTACGACTTTATTCTTATATATTAATGACTTTATTCTCCTCAATAATAACTTTATTCTCCAAGATTTCAAAACGTTTTTTTTCTTAATGTGGCCCTCATACCCCAAGGAAATCTCACTCTTAGCTTAGTTCAAAACTTGAGAGCCCTGGAACTGAGTTGAGCCGAGCACAGCCTCAATGACCCAGACAGACCCAAAAAGAAGTACTATAAATGAGCACACTCACCAAACATTGCTGATATAGGATCAGATCAGGGTCAAAACATTAGACAGCTGCTCTTGGAGGTTTTCTGATACGTTCAGTTATTATATCATACAATGGGCACAATGATCACCTAATTGCACATGCAGAAATAGAGAAAAGATTTGACCTTACCCGTCAGCCATTTTAGTTTCTGCTGTAGTGCTATGTAATGTGATATTACTCTACCATGCTAGTTACAGTAATCTGTTCACTCAGTTATTGGCTGTATTTAATCATTACAGACCAGTTGTATCGGAAAGTACTCAGTACTCCATATTCAATACTCAAGCAGAGTATTACCATTGTGTTTTTTCCTCCTTAACCAAAAGTAGCTCCCCTTTAAGCCCCACTCCCCACCCAAACTAGCGATACCTTCCCTGTTCTTATCTCAGTACACTAATAGTCAGTGAAATAGCTGACACTAATCAGAAGCAAATGAGTGTAATAATGTAAAAAGACTAAAACATCATTTTAAAGAGTAACAATTGTCCATATACAGTATTAGCATATGAGCTTGCTCTCAAACCATGTCTGTACTCCACAAGATCTCACTCCATTTTTCCATGAAAGAAGAATTGGACAGCGATTGAAATGAATCACACATTTTCTTTCAGTGTTTGTTCGTTTGGATAGTAATGATTGCATGAGGCTTCTTGATTAGCTTGCTAGCTAGTAGAAGTCGACTATGAGATCATTTTGTTTATCACCTAGAGATGAAGAGCAAATGTCTCTGAAAAAGAGGCAGAATTACAAAAGACTAATGAAAATTCTTGATCTTGGCCAGTGGACCTAAACAAAAACTGTAGGATCCTATGTGAAATTGAGGCTTGTGTGTGGTGCAAGTTAAAACTTGACGACTTGACCTGTCACTGACACTGCTGTTAAAGTTAAATAATATCAAAAATTAAGATAATAGTAACATTTAATCACCTCTGAGAACAACTTGTAGTCAAATGTGCAAATGTCATGTGGGGACGAGTCGCAGTGATGCCAACTTGTTCACTTCCAGGAATAAATCAGATGAGCCTATTACAGCATGACGGTGCTAACCCATATTGTGCATGAATTACAACAAAATAGCTCTGCATTCAAAGAGTCTGCATGCTGAAGTAGCTTACCTGCAGTCTCAGCTTGCCAACCAAAAGTTGTGCAAAATTAAAAATAGAAAAAAGAAGACCCCAGCCTGTCATCAGCTGAGATCTTCCCTCAGGCAAAACAAGGAATAACTATCCATTTTTAAAACTCTACAGAAAGAGTTTTTTTTTTTTTTTTTTTAAAGGAGAAGTGACTCATCATGATGGCAGACATGTCCCTGCTATAACTTTTTGAAACTATGTGACCATGTGACTGTGAAAAAAAAAAATAAAAACTTTCAACATCAGATTTGTCATTTTTACATATTGAATAAATGTGTTGCTTGATATTATGCAAAATATAAAAATATGAAACTGTGCAGGAAAAAAAAAGATTCCCTGGCTTGATTGAGCAGTTTTTTTGAAACATATTGTTCACTAAGGTATCCATTTTAAGTTTTAAGTTGTGGCAGACTTATGTTGTGATCTGTTGCCATAGTAACTGGGGAAGCCAGAGGGAATTCCATGACTGTGCTTTGACATTACTATCATGTCATCATAGTGATGTTTTCATAGTGATGACATCATAGTGATGTCATCACTTTGATGTCATCGAAGTGATGACATCACAGCCCTGAGGCATACCAAAAACTTGGTAATGACTGCACCAAGGTAAGTAAGATCGAACTTTGCTTTAGGATCATTTTTAAAGGAGACACAAAACTGTTTTAACACCAACTTACAAACACAAACACAGCCATGAGCTCCTCCACTAGTAGGATGGAACAGAACAGAACAGAAGAAGCGACCAATTATGACTTTCAGGGTTTTGACTCAGAGGAAGAATTAAACCCGCTTCTTTCTGGAGTCGGCCAGGATTCAGAGGACTCAGATGAACAGGACCAAATTGGCTCACCTGACTCCGTAAATAAATCATCTCCAGAAGAGACCAAAAAGTCAGTCAAGAGAGGGCTCATCAGCAGGATGAAAGCTATTTCTGTCCAAACATTTGCTCAAGAGTCAATCCTGAATGTGAGGTCTAGAGTCAGGCGTAGGCTGGCCCACCGTCAAAGACAGGAAGCTGACACTTCAGATACTTCAATGCTTCTGGAGAGTGAGGATAGTCTTTCAAATGAGATAATTACACCCGAAGATCAGCATACAAACAGTGAGTCTGAAGAGATTGGGCCTTCCACTGCCCTCTGTAAAAGTGACTGTGAGCGTCGTCTTGATGTGGCTCAGAAATGCCACATTGAGAAAGTGGCTGAGCTTGAGAGAGAAAAGGAGGAAATCCAGGCTATAAAGGAAAACCTCTTCTCTCAAGTTAGTCGTCTGCAGGATGAGAGCATCACAAATGAAAGGAACAGGAGCCTCTTGACTGAGAAGGTGGCAAGTCTTGAAACAAGACTGGATGAAAAAGAGTTAGAAAATGGAAATTTGGTGGCAGAAATTGACGATTTGAAGGAAAGGAATCGGCGTCAAGAAAAGCATTATGGAGAGAAAGTGCCTCACCTAACAAGAGACTTGCAGCAAGCTCAGGACAGAGAAAGGGCCCTGAACCAGCAAGTGACCTCTCTTCAAACATCATTTAATAAAACACAAGACGAGGCTACACAGCTCAGGGCAGCATTGCATGACTGTGAGCGTCGTCTTTATGTGGCTCAGAAATGCCACATTGAGAAAGTGGCTGAGCTTGAGAGAGTAAAGAAGGAAATCCAGGCTATAAAGGAAAACCTCTTCTCTCAAGTTAGTCGTCTGCAGGATGAGAGCATCACAAATGAAAGGAACAGGAGCCTCTTGACTGAGAAGGTGGCGAGTCTTGAAACAAGACTGGATGAAAAAGAAAGAGAAAATGAAAATTTGGTGGCAGAAATTGACGATTTGAAGGAAAGGAATTGGCGTCAAGAAAAGCATTATGGAGAGAAAGTGCTTCACCTCATAACAGCCTTGGAACAAGCTCAGGACAACGAAAGGGCCCTGAACCAGCATTCAGAGGAAACAATCAGCAAGCTCAAAGAAGAGCTCAAGGCAAAGCAGGAGGAAGAGATACAAGCGCCAAGTGAAAGACATCTTAACTCCACTGGGGTGCAGACAGACGAGATATCACCTGACCTCGAGATATCACCTGAACCTCAGCAGTTGGAAACTCCTGCTATTATTATTATTACAAACACAAACACAGCCATGAGCTCCTCCACTAGTAGGATGGAACAGAACAGAACAGAACAGAAGAAGTGACCAATTATGACTTTCAGGGTTTTGACTCAGTGGAATTAAACCCGCTTCCTTCTGGAGTCGGCCAGGATTCAGAGGACTTAGATGAACAGGACCAAATTGGCTCACCTGACTCCGTAAAGAAATCATCTCCAGAAGAGACCAAAAAGTCAGGCATGAGAGGGCTCATCAGCAGGATGAAAGCTATTTCTGTCCAAACATTTGCTCAAGAGTCAATCCTGAAGGTGAGGTCTAGAGTCAGACGTAGGCTGGCCCACCGTCGAAGACAGGAAGCTGACAGTTCAGATACTTCAATGCTTCTGGAGAGTGAGGATAGTCTTTCAAATGAGATAATTACACCCGAAGATCAGCATACAAACAGTGAGTCTGAAGAGATTGGGCCTTCCACTGCCCTCTGTAAAAGTGACTGTGAGCGTCGTCTGCAGGATGAGAGCATCACAAATGAAAGGAACAGGAGCCTCTTGACTGAGAAGGTGGCGAGTCTTGAAACAAGACTGGATGAAAAAGAGTTAGAAAATGGAAATTTGGTGGCAGAAATTGACGATTTGAAGGAAAGGAATTGGCGTCAAGAAAAGCATTATCGAGAGAAAGTGTTTCACCCCACAACAGCCTTGGAACAAGCTCAGGACAACGAAAGGACCCTGAACCAGCATTCAGAGGAAACAATCAGGAAGCTCAGAGAAGAGCTCAAGACAAAGCAGGAGGAAGAGATACTAGCGCCAAGTGAAAGACATCTTAACTCCACTGGGGTGCAGACAGACGAGATATCACCTGACCTCGAGATATCACCTGAACCTCAGCAGCTGGAAACTCCTGCTGCTGAGGCTCAGAGTGAAAGCCTGTGGAAGCGCTCTCTCAGAGGTGCACTGAGCGTAGGCAAGTTCATCGGTGTGTCCTCTGCATGTGCACTTGTTGCAGTGGGTATACTGTCCATTGGATTGATTGCTCATTGTGATTGCCCATGTGATCCTTTCTCCCACCTGTTGGAATCATTGACTATTCACAACACAGGACACCCCTCTTAAACAGGACCAACACTTCTTTTCCCCAATACAGTTTAATTAATGCAAGGAAGGAGTGGAGGTGCAGTGGTTAGCACTGTCACCTTCAGGATAAAGGTCTCCCTATTTGAATTTTACATTTTCTCTCCATCACACAGGGGTTTACTCCAGGTGCTCTGGTTTCCTCCCACAAGATATTTAGTATCTTAAAAAAAAAAAATTCCCCCTCCTCGAGCTACCACCTTACCGTGGTGGAGGGGTTTGTGTGTCCCAGTGATCCCCCAGGAGCAAACAGGTCCTGGGGGGGGGACCAGACTAAGAGTAGCTCAAACAGACCCATTATGATGAACAAAATATTTGGCACCAAGTTTCCCTCGCCTGGACGTGGGTCACTGGGACCTTGGCGGTCTGATCCTCGGCTGCAGAGGCTAGTTCTAGGGACATGGAATTTCACCACTGTCACCTTCAGGATAAAGGTCTCCGTAATCCAATTGTGCATTTTCTCCCCATAACACTGTAGGTTTCCACCAGGTGCTATGGTTTCCTCCCACAGCCCCAAAATGGCAGAACTCAGTAACTAAATAAAAAAAAAACAAATACATATAATTTCATCAAGAGTGTGTTTTTACAAGGTTAACTTGGTTTAAAGTGAATCAGATTGTGTGAAGGTTGATGTACACAACTGCAAAATCTTATGTCAGCTGTGTGGGTTTTTTCCTTTTCACATTTTGATAACAAGGTAAAAAGAAGGTGACTAAAAACAATGTCTTACTACTAGAGGTGCAATAGAAGACTATCTCCAATTAGGTTTTCAGCTGTACTCCACAAACCAGGCCTTGATTGCGGTATGCTGGCCAATTTTAGGCCATCTCCAAGCTTCCCTTTATTTCAAAAATGTTAGAGAAAGTTGTTCATGTTCAGCTAAAGTCTTTTCTGGTTGAGCATGGAGGTCTTCCAGTCTGGTTTTAAAACTCTTCACAGCACAGAGTCTGCTTTATTAAGAGTTTTAAATGACATCCTCCAGGCAAATGACTCTGGTGATTATGTTATTCTTGTTCTGTTGGATCTAACTGCAGCTTTTGACAGTGGACCACAATACTCTGGTGGTCACACAAAAACACAAAAACACACAAACACAGTATCGTATAGTATGGTATTGTACCATATCATATCGTATCATATCATGTCATATAGTGTCATATCGTATCATATTGTTCCATATTATATCATATCATGTCAGAACACATTCTCCTCGTTAGTATAGTGGTGAGTATCCCCGCCTGTTAGGCGGGAGACCGGGGTTCGATTCCCCGACGGGGAGTGGAAATCAAAACGGAAAGTGTCTGTCTTCTCGCTGGGTGAAGCCACTCTGAGAACAGCACCCTCTGGTGACGGGCTGCAGTATAGGTCATAAAACCCTGTCAGCCATCCTTAAGAGGCTGAGGACAAATTTTAGAAATTAATCACACAGAACAGATTTTTTCCCCTTGCTTGCGATGTTGACATGTAGTTACTGTAAGACTGTTTTGTGCTCAAGTCCTCTTTTTTCTGTACAGCTCTATTTTTAAAAGTTCTTAGGGGGTTCATGTCCACACAGTGTGGACTGTCATGATGACAGTGTAATGCTCATGTACCAAAGGATTAAGTATTTCCATGTTCGTGAAACCTACACTAAAGTACAATTCATCTAAATGCTTCACAGTGCTGATTTTAACAACTCTCCAGCACAACAGGTAACTTTACGACTTTATTCTTATATATTAATGACTTTATTCTCCTCAATAATAACTTTATTCTCGAAGATTTAAAAACGTTTTTTTTCTTAATGTGGCCCTCATACCCCAAGGAAATCTCACTCTTAGCTTAGTTCAAAACTTGAGAGCCCTGGAACTGAGTTGAGCCGAGCACAGCCTCAATGACCCAGACAGACCCAAAAAGAAGTACTATAAATGAGCACACTCACCCAACATTGCTGATATAGGATCAGATCAGGGTCAAAACATTAGACAGCTGCTCTTGGAGGTTTTCTGATACGTTCAGTTATTATATCATACAATGGGCACAATGATCACCTAATTGCACATGCAGAGATAGAGAAAAGATTTGACCTTACCCGTCAGCCATTTTAGTTTCTGCTAGAGTGCTATGTAATGTGATATTACTCTACCATGCTAGTCACAGTAATCTGTTCACTCAGTTATTGGCTGTATTTAATCATTACAGACCAGTTGTATCGGAAAGTACTCAGTACTCCATATTCAATACTCAAGCAGAGTATTACCATTGTGTTTTTTCCTCCTTAACCAAAAGTAGCTCCCCTTTAAACCCCGCTCCCCACCCAAACTAGCGATACCTTCCCTGTTCTTATCTCAGTACACTAATAGTCAGTGAAATAGCTGACACTAATCAGAAGCAAATGAGTGTAATAATGTAAAAAGACTAAAACATCATTTTAAAGAGTAACAATTGTCCATATACAATATTAGCATATGAGCTTGCTCTCAAACCATGTCTGTACTCCACAAGATCTCACTCCATTTTTCCATGAAAGAAGAATTGGACAGCGATTGAAATGAATCACACATTTTCTTTCAGTCTTTGTTTGTTTGGATAGTAATGATTGCATGAGGCTTCTTGATTAGCTTGCTAGCTAGTAGAAGTCGAATATGAGATCATTTTGTTTATCACCTTGAGATGAAGAGCAAATGTCTCTGAAAAAGAGACAGAATTACAAAAGACTAATGAAAATTCTTGATCTTGGCCAGTGGACCTAAACAAAAACTGTAGGATCCTATGTGAAATTGAGGCTTGTGTATGGTGCAAATCTAAGTTAAAACTTGACGACTTGACCTGTCACTGACACTGCTGTTAAAATTAAATAATATCAAAAATTAAGATAATAGTAACATTTAATCACCTCTGAGAACAACTTGTAGTCAAATGTGCAAATGTCATGTGGGGACGAGTCGCAGTGATGCCAACTTGTTCACTTCCAGGAATGAATCAGATGAGCCTATTACAGCATGACGGTGCTAACCCATATTGTGCATGAATTACAACAAAATAGCTCTGCATTCAAAGAGTCTGCATGCTGAAGTAGCTTACCTGCAGTCTCAGCTTGCCAACCAAAAGTTGTGCAAAATTAAAAAATAGAAAAAAGAAGACCCCAGCCTGTCATCAGCTGAGATCTTCCCTCAGGCAAAACAAGGAATAACTATCCATTTTTAAAACTCTACAGAAAGAGTTTTTTTTTTTTTTTAAAAGGAGAAGTGACTCGTCATGATGGCAGACATGTCCCTGCTATAACTTTTTGAAACTATGTGACCATGTGACTGTGATAAAAAAAAAAAACTTTCAACATCAGATTTGTCATTTTTACATAAACAAAACATATTGTTCACTAAGGTATCCATTTTAAGTTTCAAGTTGTGGCAGACTTATGTTGTGATCTGTTGCCATAGTAACTGGGGAAGCCAGAGGGAATTCCATGACTGTGCTTTGACATTACTATCATGTCATCATAGTGATGTTTTCATAGTGATGACATCATAGTGATGTCATCACTTTGATGTCATCGAAGTGATGACATCACAGCCCTGAGGCATACCAAAAACTTGGTAATGACTGCACCAAGGTAAGTAAGATCGAACTTTGCTTTAGGATCATTTTTAAAGGAGACACAAAACTGTTTTAACACCAACTTACAAACACAAACACAGCCATGAGCTCCTCCACTAGTAGGATGGAACAGAACAGAACAGAAGAAGCGACCAATTATGACTTTCAGGGTTTTGACTCAGAGGAAGAATTAAACCCGCTTCCTTCTGGAGTCGGCCAGGATTCAGAGGACTTAGATGAACAGGACCAAATTGGCTCACCTGACTCCGTAAATAAATCATCTCCAGAAGAGACCAAAAAGTCATGCATGAGAGGGCTCATCAGCAGGATGAAAGCTATTTCTGTCCAAACATTTGCTCAAGAGTCAATCCTAAATGTGAGGTCTAGAGTCAGGCGTAGGCTGGCCCACCGTCAAGGACAGGAAGCTGTCAGTTCAGATACTTCAATGCTTCTGGAGAGTGAGGATAGTCTTTCAAATGAGATAATTACAACCGAAGATCAGCATACAAACAGTGAGTCTGAAGAGGTTTGGCCTTCCACTGCCCTCTGTAAAAGTGACTGTGAGCGTCGTCTTGATGAGGCTCAGAAATGCCACATTGAGAAAGTGGCTGAGCTTGAGAGAGAAAAGGAGGAAATCCAGGCTACAAAGGAAAACCTCTTCTCTCAAGTTAGTTGTCAGCAGGATGAGAGCATCACAAATGAAAGGAACAGGAGCCTCTTGACTGAGAAGGTGGCGAGTCTTAAAACAAGACTGGATGAAAAAGAGTTAGAAAATGGAAATTTGGTGGCAGAAATTGACGATTTGAAGGAAAGGAATTGGCGTCAAGAAAAGCATTATGGAGAGAAAGTGCTTCACCTAACAACAGCCTTGGAACAAGCTCAGGACAGAGAAAGGGCCCTGAACCAGCAAGTGACCTCTCTCCAGACATCATTTAATGAAACACAAGACAGGACTACACAGCTCAGGGTAGCATTGCATGACTGTCAGTGTCGTCTTTATGTGGCTCAGAAATGCCACATTGAGAAAGTGGCTGAGCTTGAGAGAGAAAAGGAGGAAATCCAGGCTATAAAGGAAAACCTCTTCTCTCAAGTTAGTCGTCTGCAGGATGAGAGCATCACAAATGAAAGGAACAGGAGCCTCTTGACTGAGAAGGTGGCGAGTCTTGAAACAAGACTGGATGAAAAAGAGAGAGAAAATGAAAATTTGGTGGCAGAAATTGACGATTTGAAGGAAAGGAATTGGCGTCAAGAAAAGCATTATGGAGAGAAAGTGCTTCACCTAACAAGAGACTTGCAGCAAGCTCAGGACAGAGAAAGGGCCCTGAACCAGCAAGTGACCTCTCTCCAAACATTATTTAATAAAACACAAGACGAGGCTACACAGCTCAGGGCAGCATTGCATGACTGTGAGCGTCGTCTTGATGAGGCTCAGAAATGCCACATTGAGAAAGTGGCTGAGCTTGAGAGAGAAAAGGAGGAAATCCAGGCTATAAAGGAAAACCTCTTCTCTCAAGTTAGTCGTCTGCAGGATGAGAGCATCACAAATGAAAGGAACAGGAGCCTCTTGACTGAGAAGGTGGCGAGTCTTGAAACAAGACTGGATGAAAAAGAGAGAGAAAATGAAAATTTGGTGGCAGAAATTGACGATTTGAAGGAAAGGAATTGGCGTCAAGAAAAGCATTATGGAGAGAAAGTGCTTCACCTAACAAGAGACTTGCAGCAAGCTCAGGACAGAGAAAGGGCCCTGAACCAGCAAGTGACCTCTCTCCAAACATCATTTAATAAAACACAAGACGAGGCTACACAGCTCAGGGCAGCATTGCATGACTGTGAGCGTTGTCTTGATGAGGCTCAGAAATGCCACATTGAGAAAGTGGCTGAGCTTGAGAGAGAAAAGAAGGAAATCCAGGCTATAAAGGAAAACCTCTTCTCTCAAGTTAGTCGTCTGCAGGATGAGAGCATCACAAATGAAAGGAACAGGAGCCTCTTGACTGAGAAGGTGGCGAGTCTTGAAACAAGACTGGATGAAAAAGAGAGAGAAATTGACGATTTGAAGGAAAGGAATTGGCGTCAAGAAAAGCATTATGGAGAGAAAGTGCTTCACCTGACAACAGCCTTGGAACAAGCTCAGGACAGAGAAAGGACCCTGAACCAGCATTCAGAGGAAACAATCAGCAAGCTCAGAGAAGAGCTCAAGGCAAAGCAGGAGGAAGAGATACTAATGCCAAGTGAAAGACATCTTAACTCCACTGGGGTGCAGACAGACGAGATATCACCTGAACCTCAGCAGCTGGAAACTCCTGCTGCTGAGGCTCAGAGTGAAAGCCTGTGGAAGCGCTCTCTCAGAGGTGCACTGAGCGTAGGCAAGTTCATTGGTGTGTCCTCTGCATGTGCACTTGTTGCAGTGGGTATACTGTCCATTGGATTGGTTGCTCATTGTGATTGTCCATGTGATCTGTTCTCCCACCTGTTGGAATCATTGACTATTCACAACACAGGACACCCCTTTTAAACAGGACCAACACTTCTTTTCCCCAATACAGTTTAATTAATGCAAGGAAGGAGTGGAGGTGCAGTGGTTAGCACTGTCACCTTCAGGATAAAGGTCTCCCTATTTGAATTTTACATTTTCTCTCCATCACACAGGGGTTTACTCCAGGTGCTCTGGTTTCCTCCCACAAGATATTTAGTATCTTAAAAAAAAAAAATTCCCCCTCCTCGAGCTACCACCTTACCGTGGTGGAGGGGTTTGTGTGTCCCAGTGATCCCCCAGGAGCAAACAGGTCCTGGGGGGGGGGGACCAGACTAAGAGTAGCTCAAACAGACCCATTATGATGAACAAAATATTTGGCACCAAGTTTCCCTCGCCTGGACGTGGGTCACTGGGACCTTGGCGGTCTGATCCTCGGCTGCAGAGGCTAGTTCTAGGGACATGGAATTTCACCACTGTCACCTTCAGGATAAAGGTCTCCGTAATCCAATTGTGCATTTTCTCCCCATAACACTGTAGGTTTCCACCAGGTGCTATGGTTTCCTCCCACAGCCCCAAAATGGCAGAACTCAGTAACTAAATAAAAAAAAAAAATACATATAATTTCATCAAGAGTGTGTTTTTACAAGGTTAACTTGGTTTAAAGTGAATCAGATTGTGTGAAGGTTGATGTACGCGACTGCAAAATCTTCTGTCAGCTGTGTGGTTTTTTCCTTTTCACATTTTGATAACAAGGTAAAAAGAAGGTGACTAAAAACAATGTCTTACTACTAGAGGTGCAATAGAAGACTATCTCCAATTAGGTTTTCAGCTGTACTCCACAAACCAGGCCTTGATTGCGGTATGCTGGCCAATTTTAGGCCATCTCCAAGCTTCCCTTTATTTCAAAAATGTTAGAGAAAGTTGTTCATGTTCAGCTAAAGTCTTTTCTGGTTGAGCATGGAGGTCTTCCAGTCTGGTTTTAAAACTCTTCACAGCACAGAGTCTGCTTTATTAAGAGTTTTAAATGACATCCTCCAGGCAAATGACTCTGGTGATTATGTTATTCTTGTTCTGTTGGATCTAACTGCAGCTTTTGACAGTGGACTACAATACTCTGGTGGTCACACAAAAAAACAAAAACACACAAACACAGTATCGTATAGTATGGTATTGTACCATATATCGTATCATATCATGTCATATAGTGTCATATCGTATCATATTGTTCCATATTATATCATATCATGTCAGAACACATTCTCCTCGTTAGTATAGTGGTGAGTATCCCCGCCTGTTAGGCGGGTGACCGGGGTTCGATTCCCCGACGGGGAGTGGAAATCAAAACGGAAAGTGTCCGTCTTCTCGCTGGGTGAAGCCACTCTGAGAACAGCACCCTCTGGTGACGGGCTGCAGTATAGGTCATAAATCCCTGTCAGCCATCCTTAAGAGGCTGAGGACAAATTTTAGAAATTAATCACACAGAACAGATTTTTTCCCCTTGCTTGCGATGTTGACATGTAGTTACTGTAAGACTGTTTTGTGCTCAAGTCCTCTTTTTTCTGTACAGCTCTATTTTTAAAAGTTCTTAGGGGGTTCATGTCCACACAGTGTGGACTGTCATGATGACAGTGTAATGCTCATGTACCAAAGGATTAAGTATTTCCATGTTTGTGAAACCTACACTAAAGTACAATTCATCTAAATGCTTCACAGTGCTGATTTTAACAACTCTCCTGCACAACAGGTAACTTTACGACTTTATTCTAATATATTAATGACTTTACTCTCCTCAATAATAACTTTATTCTCGAAGATTTAAAAACGTTTTTTTTCTTAATGTGGCCCTCATACCCCGAGGAAATCTCACTCTTAGCTTAGTTCAAAACTTGAGAGCCCTGGAACTGAGTTGAGCCGAGCACAGCCTCAATGACCCAGACAGACCCAAAAAGAAGTACTATAAATGAGCACACTCACCAAACATTGCTGATATAGGATCAGATCAGGGTCAAAACATTAGACAGCTGCTCTTGGAGGTTTTCTGATACGTTCAGTTATTATATCATACAATGGGCACAATGATCACCTAATTGCACATGCAGAAATAGAGAAAAGATTTGACCTTACCCGTCAGCCATTTTAGTTTCTGCTAGAGTGCTATGTAATGTGATATTACTCTACCATGCTAGTTACAGTAATCTGTTCACTCAGTTATTGGCTGTAATTAATCATTACAGACCAGTTGTATCGGAAAGTACTCAGTACTCCATATTCAATACTCAAGCAGAGTATTACCATTGTGTTTTTTCCTCCTTAACCAAAAGTAGCTCCCCTTTAAGCCCCACTCCCCACCCAAACTAGCGATACCTTCCCTGTTCTTATCTCAGTACACTAATAGTCAGTGAAATAGCTGACACTAATCAGAAGCAAATGAGTGTAATAATGTAAAAAGACTAAAACATCATTTTAAAGAGTAACAATTGTCCATATACAATATTAGCATATCAGCTTGCTCTCAAACCATGTCTGTACTCCACAAGATCTCACTCCATTTTTCCATGAAAGAAGAATTGGACAGCGATTGAAATGAATCACACATTTTCTTTCAGTGTTTGTTTGTTTGGATAGTAATGATTGCATGAGGCTTCTTGATTAGCTTGCTAGCTAGTAGAAGTCGAATATGAGATCATTTTGTTTATCACCTAGAGATGAAGAGCAAATGTCTCTGAAAAAGAGACAGAATTACAAAAGACTAATGAAAATTCTTGATCTTGGCCAGTGGACCTAAACAAAAACTGTAGGATCCTATGTGAAATTGAGGCTTGTGTATGGTGCAAATCTAAGTTAAAACTTGACGACTTGACCTGTCACTGACACTGCTGTTAAAGTTAAATAATATCAAAAATTAAGATAATAGTAACATTTAATCACCTCTGAGAACAACTTGTAGTCAAATGTGCAAATGTCATGTGGGGACGAGTCGCAGTGATGCCAACTTGTTCACTTCCAGGAATGAATCAGATGAGCCTATTACAGCATGACGGTGCTAACCCATATTGTGCATGAATTACAACAAAATAGCTCTGCATTCAAAGAGTCTGCATGCTGAAGTAGCTTACCTGCAGTCTCAGCTTGCCAACCAAAAGTTGTGCAAAATTAAAAATAGAAAAAAGAAGACCCCAGCCTGTCACCAGCTGAGATCTTCCGTCAGGCAAAACAAGGAATAACTATCTATTTTTAAAACTCTACAGAAAGAGTTTTTTTTTTTTAAAGGAGAAGTGACTCATCATGATGGCAGACATGTCCCTGCTATAACTTTTTGAAACTATGTGACCATGTGACTGTGATAAAAAAAAAAACTTTCAACATCAGATTTGTCATTTTTAAATATTGAATAAATGTGTTGCTTGATATTATGCAAAATATAAAAATATGAAACTGTGCAGGAAAAAAGAAAGATTCCCTGGCTTGATTGAGCAGTTTTTTTGAAACATATTGTTCACTAAGGTATCCATTTTAAGTTTTAAGTTGTGGCAGACTTATGTTGTGATCTGTTGCCATAGTAACTGGGGAAGCCAGAGGGAATTCCATGACTGTGCTTTGACATTACTATGATGTCATCAAAGTGGTGACATCATAGTGATGTCATCACTTTGATGTCATCGAAGTGATGACATCACAGCCCTGAGGCATACCAAAAACTTGGTAATGACTACACCAATGTAAGTAAGATCGAACTTTGCTTTAGGATCATTTTTAAAGGAGACACAAAACTGTTTTAACACCAACTTACAAACACAAACAGCCATGAGCTCCTCCACTAGTAGGATGGAACAGAACAGAACAGAAGAAGCGACCAATTATGACTTTCAGGGTTTTGACTCAGAGGAAGAATTAAACCCGCTTCCTTCTGGAGTCGGCCAGGATTCAGAGGACTTAGATGAACAGGACCAAATTGGCTCACCTGACTCCGTAAATAAATCATCTCCAGAAGAGACCAAAAAGTCATGCATGAGAGGGCTCATCAGCAGGATGAAAGCTATTTCTGTCCAAACATTTGCTCAAGAGTCAATCCTGAATTTGAGGTCTAGAGTCAGGCGTAGGCTGGCCCACCGTCAAAGACAGGAAGCTGACACTTCAGATACTTCAATGCTTCTGGAGAGTGAGGATAGTCTTTCAAATGAGATAATTACACCCGAAGATCAGCATACAAACAGTGAGTCTGAAAGGATTGGGCCTTCCACTGCCCTCTGTAAAAGTGACTGTGAGCGTCGTCTCTTGACTGAGAAGGTGGCGAGTCTTGAAACAAGACTGGATGAAAAAGAGAGAGAAAATGAAAATTTGGTGGCAGAAATTGACGATTTGAAGGAAAGGAATTGGCGTCAAGAAAAGCATTATCGAGAGAAAGTGCTTCACCTCACAACAGCCTTGGAACAAGCTCAGGACAGAGAAAGGACCCTGAACCAGCTGGAAACTCCTGCTGCTGAGGCTCAGAGTGAAAGCCTGTGGAAGCGCTCTCTCAGAGGTGCACTGAGCGTAGGCAAGTTCATTGGTGTGTCCTCTGCATGTGCACTTGTTGCAGTGGGTATACTGTCCATTGGATTGGTTGGTCATTGTGATTGTCCATGTGATCCTTTCTCCCACCTGTTGGAATCATTGACTATTCACAACACAGGACACCCCTCTTAAACAGGACCAACACTTCTTTTCCCCAATACAGTTTAATTAATGCAAGGAAGGAGTGGAGGTGCAGTGGTTAGCACTGTCACCTTCAGGATAAAGGTCTCCTTATTTGAATTTTACATTTTCTCTCCATCACACAGGGGTTTACTCCAGGTGCTCTGGTTTCCTCCCACAAGATATTTAGTATCTTAAAAAAAAAAAAAATCCCCCTCCTCGAGCTACCACCTTACCGTGGTGGAGGGGTTTGTGTGCCCCAGTGATCCCCCAGGACCTGTTTGCTCCTGGGGGGGGGGGGGGACTAGACTAAGAGTAGTTCAAACAGACCCATTATGATGAACAAAATATTTGGCACCAAGTTTCCCTCGCCTGGACGTGGGTCACTGGGACCTTGGCGGTCTGATCCTCGGCTGCAGAGGCTAGTTCTAGGGACATGGAATGTCACCATTGTCACCTTCAGGATAAAGGTCTCCGTAATCAAATTGTGCATTTTCTCCCCATAACACTGTAGGTTTCCACCAGGTGCTATGGTTTCCTCCCACAGCCCCAAAATGGCAGAACTCAGTAACTAAATATAAAGAATAAAATTTTCATCAAGAGTGTGTTTTTACAAGGTTAACTTGGTTTAAAGTGAATCAGATTGTGTGAAGGTTGATGTACGCAACTGCAAAATCTTATGTCAGCTGTGTGGGTTTTTTCCTTTTCACATTTTGATAACAAGGTAAAAAGAGGGTGACTAAAAACAATGTCTTACTACTAGAGGTGCAATAGAAGACTATCTCCAATTAGGTTTTCAGCTGTACTCCACAAACCAGGCCTTGATTGCAGTATGCTGGCCAATTTTAGGCCATCTCCAAACTTCCCTTTATTTCAAAAATTTTAGAGGAAGTTGTTCATGTTCAGCTAAAGTCTTTTCTGGTTGAGCATGGAGGTCTTCCAGTCTGGTTTTAAAACTCTTCACAGCACAGAGTCTGCTTTATTAAGAGTTTTAAATGACATCCTCCAGGCAAATGACTCTGGTGATTATGTTATTCTTGTTCTGTTGGATCTAACTGCAGCTTTTGACAGTGGACCACAATACTCTGGTGGTCACACAAAAACACAAAAACACAGTATCGTATAGTATGGTATTGTACCATATCATATCGTATCATATCATGTCATATAGTGTCATATTGTTCCATATTATATCATATCATGTCAGAACACATTCTCCTCGTTAGTATAGTGGTGAGTATCCCCGCCTGTTAGGCGGGAGACCGGGGTTCAATTCCCCGACGGGGAGTGGAAATCAAAACGGAAAGTGTCCGTCTTCTCGCTGGGTGAAGCCACTCTGAGAACAGCACCCTCTGGTGACGGGCTGCAGTATAGGTCATAAATCCCTGTCGGCCATCCTTAAGAGGCTGAGGACAAATTTTAGAAATTAATCACACAGAAAAGATTTTTTCCCCTTGCTTGCGATGTTGACATGTAGTTACTGTAAGACTGTTTTGTGCTCAAGTCCTCTTTTTTCTGTACAGCTCTATTTTTAAAAGTTATTAGGGGGTTCATGTCCACACAGTGTGGACTGTCATGATGACAGTGTAATGCTCATGTACCAAAGGATTAAGTATTTCCATGTTTGTGAAACCTACACTAAAGTACAATTCATCTAAATGCTTCACAGTGCTGATTTTAACAACTCTCCTGCACAACAGGTAACTTTACGACTTTATTCTTATATATTAATGACTTTACTCTCCTCAATAATAACTTTATTCTCCAAGATTTAAAAACGTTTTTTTTCTTAATGTGGCCCTCATACCCCGAGGAAATCTCACTCTTAGCTTAGTTCAAAACTTGAGAGCCCTGGAACTGAGTTGAGCCGAGCACAGCCTCAATGACCCAGACAGACCCAAAAAGAAGTACTATAAATGAGCACACTCACCAAACATTGCTGATATAGGATCAGATCAGGGTCAAAACATTAGACAGCTGCTCTTGGAGGTTTTCTGATATGTTCAGTTATTATATCATACAATGGGCACAATGATCACCTAATTGCACATGCAGAAATAGAGAAAAGATTTGACCTTACCCGTCAGCCATTTTAGTTTCTGCTAGAGTGCTATGTAATGTGATATTACTCTACCATGCTAGTTACAGTAATCTGTTCACTCAGTTATTGGCTGTATTTAATCATTACAGACCAGTTGTATCGGAAAGTACTCAGTACTCCATATTCAATACTCAAGCAGAGTATTACCATTGTGTTTTTTCCTCCTTAACCAAAAGTAGCTCCCCTTTAAGCCCCACTCCCCACCCAAACTAGCGATACCTTCCCTGTTCTTATCTCAGTACATTAATAGTCAGTGAAATAGCTGACACTAATCAGAAGCAAATGAGTGTAATAATGTAAAAAGACTAAAACATCATTTTAAAGAGTAACAATTGTCCATATACAATATTAGCATATCAGCTTGCTCTCAAACCATGTCTGTACTCCACAAGATCTCACTCCTATTTTCCATGAAAGAAGAATTGGACAGCGATTGAAATGAATCACACATTTTCTTTCAGTGTTTGTTTGTTTGGATAGTAATGATTGCATGAGGCTTCTTGATTAGCTTGCTAGCTAGTAGAAGTCGAATATGAGATCATTTTGTTTATCACCTAGAGATGAAGAGCAAATGTCTCTGAAAAAGAGACAGAATTACAAAAGACTAATGAAAATTCTTGATCTTGGCCAGTGGACCTAAACAAAAACTGTAGGATCCTATGTGAAATTGAGGCTTGTGTGTGGTGCAAATCTAAGTTAAAACTTGACGACTTGACCTGTCACTGACACTGCTGTTAAAGTTAAATAATATCAAAAATTAAGATAATAGTAACATTTAATCACCTCTGAGAACAACTTGTAGTCAAATGTGCAAATGTCATGTGGGGACGAGTCGCAGTGATGCCAACTTGTTCACTTCCAGGAATGAATCAGATGAGCCTATTACAGCATGACGGTGCTAACCCATATTGTGCATGAATTACAACAAAATAGCTCTGCATTCAAAGAGTCTGCATGCTGAAGTAGCTTACCTGCAGTCTCAGCTTGCCAACCAAAAGTTGTGCAAAATCAAAAATAGAAAAAAGAAGACCCCAGCCTGTCACCAGCTGAGATCTTCCCTCAGGAAAAACAAGGAATAACTATCCATTTTTAAAACTCTACAGAAAGAGTTTTTTTTTTTTTTAAAGGAGAAGTGACTCATCATGATGGCCGACATGTCCTTGCTATAACTTTTTGAAACTATGTGACCATGTGACTGTGATAAAAAAAAAAAAAACTTTCAACATCAGATTTGTCATTTTTACATAAACAAAACATATTGTTCACTAAGGTATCCATTTTAAGTTTTAAGTTGTGGCAGACTTATGTTGTGATCTGTTGCCATAGTAACTGGGGAAGCCAGAGGGAATTCCATGACTGCGCTTTGACATTACTATCATGTCATCATAGTGATGTTTTCATAGTGATGACATCATAGTGATGTCATCACTTTGATGTCATCGAAGTGATGACATCACAGCCCTGAGGCAAATCAAAAACTTGGTAATGACTGCACCAAGGTAAGTAAGATCGAACTTTGCTTTAGGATCATTTTTAAAGGAGACACAAAACTGTTTTAACACCAACTTACAAACACAAACACAGCCATGAGCTCCTCCACTAGTAGGATGGAACAGAACAGAACAGAAGAAGCGACCAATTATGACTTTCAGGGTTTTGACTCAGAGGAAGAATTAAACCCGCTTCTTTCTGGAGTCGGCCAGGATTCAGAGGACTCAGATGAACAGGACCAAATTGGCTCACCTGACTCCGTAAATAAATCATCTCCAGAAGAGACCAAAAAGTCAGTCAAGAGAGGGCTCATCAGCAGGATGAAAGCTATTTCTGTCCAAACATTTGCTCAAGAGTCAATCCTGAATGTGAGGTCTAGAGTCAGGCGTAGGTTGGCCCACCATCAAAGACAGGAAGCTGACAGTTCAGATACTTCAATGCTTCTGGAGAGTGAGGATAGTCTTTCAAATGAGATAATTACACCCGAAGATCAGCATACAAACAGTGAGTCTGAAGAGATTGGGCCTTCCACTGCCCTCTGTAAAAGTGACTGTGAGCGTCGTCTTGATGTGGCTCAGAAATGCCACATTGAGAAAGTGGCTGAGCTTGAGAGAGAAAAGGAGGAAATCCAGGCTATAAAGGAAAACCTCTTCTCTCAAGTTAGTCGTCTGCAGGATGAGAGCATCACAAATGAAAGGAACAGGAGCCTCTTGACTGAGAAGGTGGCGAGTCTTGAAACAAGACTGGATGAAAAAGAGTTAGAAAATGGAAATTTGGTGGCAGAAATTGACGATTTGAAGGAAAGGAATTGGCGTCAAGAAAAGCATTATGGAGAGAAAGTGCTTCACCTAACAAGAGACTTGCAGCAAGCTCAGGACAGAGAAAGGGCCCTGAACCAGCAAGTGACCTCTCTCCAAACATCATTTAATAAAACACAAGACGAGGCTACACAGCTCAGGGCAGCATTGCATGACTGTGAGCGTCGTCTTTATGTGGCTCAGAAATGCCACATTGAGAAAGTGGCTGAGCTTGAGAGAGTAAAGAAGGAAATCCAGGCTATAAAGGAAAACCTCTTCTCTCAAGTTAGTCGTCTGCAGGATGAGAGCATCACAAATGAAAGGAACAGGAGCCTCTTGACTGAGAAGGTGGCGAGTCTTGAAACAAGACTGGATGAAAAAGAAAGAGAAAATGAAAATTTGGTGGCAGAAATTGACGATTTGAAGGAAAGGAATTGGCGTCAAGAAAAGCATTATGGAGAGAAAGTGCTTCACCTCATAACAGCCTTGGAACAAGCTCAGGACAACGAAAGGACCCTGAATCAGCATTCAGAGGAAACAATCAGCAAGCTCAGAGAAGAGCTCAAGGCAAAGCAGGAGGAAGAGATACTAGCGCCAAGTGAAAGACATCTTAACTCCACTGGGGTGCAGACAGACGAGATATCACCTGACCTCGAGATATCACCTGAACCTCAGCAGCTGGAAACTCCTGCTGCTGAGGCTCAGAGTGAAAGCCTGTGGAAGCGCTCTCTCAGAGGTGCACTGAGCGTAGGCAAGTTCATTGGTGTGTCATCTGCATGTGCACTTGTTGCAGTGGGTATGCTGTCCATTAGATTGATTGCTCATTGTGATTGCCCATGTGATCCGTTCTCCCACCTGTTGGAATCATTGACTATTCACAACACAGGACACCCCTTTTAAACAGGACCAACACTTCTTTTCCCCAATACAGTTTAATTAATGCAAGGAAGGAGTGGAGGTGCAGTGGTTAGCACTGTCACCTTCAGGATAAAGGTCTCCCTATTTGAATTTTACATTTTCTCTCCATCACACAGGGGTTTACTCCAGGTGCTCTGGTTTCCTCCCACAAGATATTTAGTATCTTAAAAAAAAAAAATCCCCCTCCTCGAGCTACCACCTTACCGTGGTGGAGGGGTTTGTGTGTCCCAGTGATCCCCCAGGAGCAAACAGGTCCTGGGGGGGACCAGACTAAGAGTAGCTCAAATAGACCCATTATGATGAACAAAATATTTGGCACCAAGTTTCCCTCGCCTGGACGTGGGTCACTGGGACCTTGGCGGTCTGATCCTCAGCTGCAGAGGCTAGTTTTAGGGACATGGAATGTCACCACTGTCACCTTCAGGATAAAGGTCTCCGTAATCGAATTGTGCATTTTCTCCCCATAACACTGTAGGTTTCCACCAGGTGCTATGGTTTCCTCCCACAGCCCCAAAATGGCAGAACTCAGTGTAGCAATCAAGACAACCCTGGGTGTGAAACCCACACATTCCTCACAGGAAAGTTTCCTTATCTGGTCCCAGGAAACAGGATATAAATCTTTCCAGACATGTTCACACTTTCAGGTTAAATAAGTGACCCAACCGGAGGTTGACTAAACCTCTGACTCTTTACGATTGGTCGATTCGGAGAACAGAGACAGAGTTTTTATTACCTTTTAAACTGACTCCATCACTGACCATCTAAATAAACATTAATGTCTCAACCCAGATCTCCCATTTGAGATTTAGCGTCTTAAAGTGTGTGAACATACGGACCCCAGGATAAGGGGGGACACTGACCTCCAGACCTCGGTCGTAAAACCCTGCTCGACCATACACTGATAAAGACTACATTCCTTTGGTGGAAGAATACAAATGGCTGATCATGACATCTTATGCATTCAGCAATGTACTAATCTGTCTAATCATGAAATTTGTGTTAAAATGAGATGTTTCCCGTTTCTCTATGTGCTTCAGCAGCCGAGTTACAGAATAAATCCTTTATTCTTTTGTTTCTTTAGACCAACAGCTTTTCAGACTGTTTCATGAACTGTTAAGAGTTAAATTTATTGACTATGGATCATAACTTACTCTATGAACACAGAAATAGTTTAGAAATGTTTGGTTTATATTGTAGATGTTTATTTAGTATTTTTAACCATTAGGTGGTTATAATGTCATTGAATAACCTGAATGTGAGTATTTAGAATCCATTATTAATCATGAGGAAGTTCATTCACATGTGTTTACTCTTTTGTTGTTCACAGTTTCCATGTGTTACTATCTGTTTCATTTCAGAGTAATTTAGCATGTTCAATGTGATACTTAAAACATAATGAGAATGTTTGATGTGATCCTACACTTCATTCATATGTGTTTAGTGTCAAATTATTTATCATGAAACCAAGCATTCAATGATATTAATCATAGTGAGTGAGTATCAGATCTGACTCTTTTACCAGCCAAAAGTATAAGTTAGATCAAATAATCAGAGATCCGAGTTCATCTCTGCTTGGAAGACCACACGACCCCTCCTGCTCTTTCTCCTCACACACACACCCCAGAGACACTCCCAGTGTGAGAAGATAAAAACCAGTGAAGTGGGGTTGCCCACTCTCTTCACTCTCTTATTCGCTCTTATGTTTCTGCTCTCTCTTAGGCCCCTTACTCTTGTGCCCTTCTCTTCTGCCCACACCCTTCTGTGGTGCGTTTCTTTGTTTTCTCTTAGAACTTTTTCTTAGTCTTCTAAGTTTTACGCCACGTGTTGATTCACGTTGATTTTTCTTTAACATCGTCTTAGTTCAAGTTTTGAAACTTCAACTTTTTGTGCGCATAGCAATTCAAGATTAAGCCTTTGATTGATTTTCCTTTAATTTCGCGAAGCCATTTTTGAAAGTTTTCTCTGCTCGAGTCTCGTTTTTCTGAGTTATCTGCGTGATTTTCAAAGTCACCTCTGAACGCAACCCAGCAGGCCCAGGTCATCCTCTGTGCCAGAGTTTTTGAGTGAGACCAAAGAAGTACCCAAACGAGCATCCACAGGATCCACAGGCGCTGGCTTTGCTTCGGGCCCGAGTGCTGCAACTCCTGGCTCATCCTTCGGCTGACTTCAGTCGTCTTCTGAGCTGAACCGCTCGAACCGCCAGTAGCCCGGACCTTCGGAACCTGCTCCATCTTCTCCAAGGACCAGTCTCACTTAAGTATGCAAACCTCCAGAGCTCCAAAGAGGGCTGGTGCTGTCTCCTGCGTTCAACTCAGATATCCTCTTATTCTTGTAATCTTAGATTCCTCCAAATCCACATCCGAGTTTATCTCGACACCAAAGTTAGTGTAGGTTAATATGTTAGCGCATATTCACTCACTATCATTAACTTTAGTGCTCCTAGCCTGACTCAGAATCTTTATTTATTCACCTATTATTATTTTATCCTCATTATCTTATCATCATTTATTGCACGTGTGTTGTACCATCATTTATCCTGTAATAAACAGATAATTATTTTTCTAAGTTCCTGTCTGTTAGTGTTCTTCCAGAAGTGGAGTCCATGAAATTAGAATTTCGACTTAAGATATGAGACTGATTAATTAAAACTGACTTGATGTTTGATTTCTGAATTAAACTTTTGTTTTCTTTATTTTCCCACCATAAAGGGTGGGTGGTGCCCCTTTCAACGAGTGCATAAATGTCTTAATTTGAGATTATTAATCTTCAGACATTTATTATAAATCCTAATCGCTACAGTATTATTTTGGTGCGGCCTTGTGAGGCTCATTTCAAATCGCTACATCAGTAACTAAATAAAAAAAAACAAATACATATAATTTCATCAAGAGTGTGTTTTTACAAGGTTAACTTGGTTTAAAGTGAATCAGATTGTGTGAAGGTTGATGTACGCGACTGCAAAATCTTCTGTCAGCTGTGTGGTTTTTTCCTTTTCACATTTTGATAACAAGGTAAAAAGAAGGTGACTAAAAACAATGTCTTACTACTAGAGGTGCAATAGAAGACTATCTCCAATTAGGTTTTCAGCTGTACTCCACAAACCAGGCCTTGATTGCGGTATGCTGGCCAATTTTAGGCCATCTCCAAGCTTCCCTTTATTTCAAAAATGTTAGAGAAAGTTGTTCATGTTCAGCTAAAGTCTTTTCTGGTTGAGCATGGAGGTCTTCCAGTCTGGTTTTAAAACTCTTCACAGCACAGAGTCTGCTTTATTAAGAGTTTTAAATGACATCCTCCAGGCAAATGACTCTGGTGATTATTAAGGCTGCAAGATATTGGAAAAAAATAATATTGCGATTTTTTCAACCCTGCGATATATATTGCGATATTAAAAATACAGTATTTTCACCAGATGACCTGAATAGCACTTAATGTTATGCTGCACTGCTGAAATCTTGAGGACAGTTAATCTGCTCTGATCTTACCTCTTTTTGTGAATGTTAGTAGAACGGCTTCTGTCTGTCTCAGAGATATTTTTAGCTTTTATTGTGCTGGGACGTTATTGTGGCGACAGATGAACACAGAAGACGTGTTTTGGTCGACATCATCCTTCTTTTAACCGAAATAATTCCAGATAACTGACTTTCCTTTTCTTTTTGGCAACAAATCTTCATTTTCGGTGGTTTTCGCTTGTTTGTTGTTCATTTTGCGATCGTTGATGTTGTTAGCGGTGTTGTGCCGAGAAACACATGTCCTCTGAGAATTGCATGCACCTCGCAAAACGCGCACTGCTTATAGTAGAGTGGTCCACGGAAATGTACAATTTAAAACCCATACAGTTCTTATTTGTTGGGCTTAATAGTCATGAGTAAAGTTCCGAAAGTAATTCTCAGCGGACACACGTCTCCCTCCATGTGCAGAACATGTGCAGGGGTGGGTTTTCTCCTCCCTGATTTTGATTGACAGCTGGCAGGGTAGTCTGATTGGCAACTGAGAAGTGAGTCTGATTGGCAACTGAGTTAAGGACGAAGGCGATTGGTGGATCGCTGCACAGCACATGCAGAGTCACATGGAGTGTATCTCAGTCGGTTACCCTTGAAATTAAATGAGTTCATTCACCTCCAATATCGCAGGCTCTGCGATGTGACTATCGCACACACGTACATCGCGATGACGATAGTCAAACGATATATCGTTCAGGCCTAGTGATTATGTTATTCTTGTTCTGTTGGATCTAACTGCAGCTTTTGACAGTGGACCACAATACTCTGGTGGTCACACAAAAACACACAAACACACAAACACAGTATCGTATAGTATGGTATTGTACCATATCATATCATATCATATCATGTCATATAGTATCATATCGTATCATATTGTTCCATATTATATCATATCATGTCAGAACACATTCTCCTCGTTAGTATAGTGGTGAGTATCCCCGCCTGTAAGGCGGGTGACCGGGGTTCGATTCCCCGACGGGGAGTGCAAATCAAAACGGAAAGTGTCCGTCTTCTCGCTGGGTGAAGCCACTCTGAGAACAGCACCCTCTGGTGACGGGCTGCAGTATAGGTCATAAATCCCTGTCAGCCATCCTTCAGAGGCTGAGGACAAATTTTAGAAATTAATCACACGGAACAGATTTTTTCCCCTTGCTTGCGATGTTGACATGTAGTTACTGTAAGACTGTTTTGTGCTCAAGTCCTCTTTTTCTGTACAGCTCTATTTTTAAAAGTTCTTAGGGGGTTCATGTCCACACAGTGTGGACTGTCATGATGACAGTGTAATGCTCATGTACCAAAGGATTAAGTATTTCCATGTTTGTGAAACCTACACTAAAGTACAATTCATCTAAATGCTTCACAGTGCTGATTTTAACAACTCTCCTGCACAACAGGTAACTTTACGACTTTATTCTTATATATTAATGACTTTATTCTCCTCAATAATAACTTTATTCTCCAAGATTTAAAAACGTTTTT